ATGACACACAAGCGGGCAGCAAGGACAGCAACTCGCCCTCGTCCGCCAGCGCGCATGCTGATACCTAGACAGCTCGCTCGCGTGAGCGGACACCCCGACCTCCCACCTCTCCGGCTGGCCGCTGCCTCGCCCCTCGAGGCACGCCCGCATTGAAGGGAAACTGGGACACACAAATAAATACACACAAATAAAAGAATTCCACATATTTTCCCATATTTTCTGGGTTTTTGTCTTCCCCCCCATTTCCCATATTTTCCCATATTTTCTGGGAATCGCAGATTAATTGTGTCTGTGTGTTTTTTCCCCTCCTGACGTATGGGCGCTCCGGGGCTCTCGGCGCTCCCCCGCCAGCAGGGCGCCGCCCTCGCCGCGACGGGCGGCGGCGACGCGGCGGCCGCGCGGAGCTGGGCCACGAGTGAGAGCAAGCCGCCGAGGGTCAGCGGGCGAAGAGCGGCATAAGATGAACCTTTCCGCCGTCGGGGACGCCTGCCCCCCGGGCGGCTGGGAAGTGTATACCCTGACGTGCCACCGTAAGGGTACCGGCGGAACAATACATGTGTATAGATATATGTATACATATATTTGTGTGTATACATGTATATGCATACACACACATATAAGAAGCCAACATGGTGTACTCACCTACGTATCTAACTGCACGTGTATGTATGCATGTATGTATGTATGCATGCATGCATGCATGCATGCATGTCTGCATGTATGTGTACATACATGCATACAATGTATGCGTGTATGTATGCATGCTTGCATGCATGCATGCATGCATGCATGTATGTATGTATGTATGTATGTATGTATGTATGCATGCATGTATGTATGTATGTATGTATTCATGTATGTGCGTATGTATGTATGTATGTATGTATGTATGTATTGCAGTGTATTGTATTGCATTGACTGTTTTGTATTGAAGTGTAGTAGTGTAGAGTAGTGTAGTGGATTGAATTGGTGTTTTGGCTTGTTTGGTATTGTGCTGTGTGTTGTGCTGTGTTGTGTTGTATTGTATTGTATTGCATGAGTGCATATATGCTTATGCACATGTTATCCCGTTCTTCGCCCGCTAAGGCTCCGCGGCCTCCACAGAGCGTCCGAGCACGCCCTGCAACGGATTTTTCCTGGTCCTTACCTTTGTGGGCCCCGGAAGCAGCAGGGCCGTTTTTTCACCGTTTCCCAAAAAATGTCCCTTGAAAATGGAAACGGCAAAAAGACGGTGACCCGAAGCGGCAAAAAAACGGCTCCAGGATTGAAACCGGAGCCGGAACCAGTCAAAAAACGGCGACAGAACCGGTACAAAAACGGCGTCGGAACCGGCAAGAAAAACGGCAAAACGGAACCGGTAAAAAACGGCCCTGTCGTTTCCAGGGCCCACTAACGTCCTTACCCCGTCCGATCAAGTGCCGGCCCCTCTCGAGATGGGCCGAGGCCGCCGCGCGCGCCGCCTGCCTGGACACACAGTGCCGCCCCCCGCGCTCGGGGATCATCTGACCCGGGTCAATCCAGACCCGGGTCAGTCAGGCCTTGCGGAATCCTGCAAAATCCTGCAAGATCCTGCACCCAAACCCGGGTCAATGCGAAGGATCCTGCAAGATCCTGCATGATCCTACTCCCAAACCCGGGTCAATGCGACCCTGGCCCTGCAGGATCCTGCAAGATCGGGCGCTCTGGCTGACCCCCGTTTGCATTGACCCCCGTCTCGAGGCTCCCGACGCGCGCGCGCGGCCACGGCTCCGGCGGGCCCGCGCAGAGCAGCCGCTCGCGCAGCCTCGCTTCGGGAGCAGCAAAGAGGGGGGCGTCCAAGAGGGGGGGGTGCAAATCATGGCCGGCGGCATGTGCGCGGCCCAGGGGGGGGGCAGGGACGTAATGAAGTAAGAAGAGGCGCCGTGAAACCTGAGGAAATATCGTGGCCCCCGCCATGATATCCACCCCCCCCTAGTCATCACCCCCCTCTTTTCCGCCCCCGATCACTGCGAGCGCGGTTTCTTCGCTGCCGGCCTCGTCGAGACGCCTGGGCCGCAGCTCCCGGCGCAGCTCCGCCCTCGCCAGGCCCCCCCCCAGCGCCACGGCGCCGCAACGGTCGCAGGGGCTCCAGGCGCAGCTTCTCCGGCCTTCGGGGATGGACAGACCTCCCTTTAGCAAAACGTGGTTTAGTGAAAATGACCTGAGGCCCAAACCTGGCGGGCGCAGGCCTGGAAAGTAACGGCCACGGCACCCTCTCGAGAACCGAAAACGGACAATTCACTAATCGACGTGTCACTGTTGGGGGTTCTGTCCACCCCCGAGGCCCCCCCCCCCGGCGCGTACGGTGCCGCAGCGGTCGCAGGGGCTCCAGGCGCAGCTTCTCCGGCCTCGTCGTCCGCCGAGGCACTCAGGGCACACCGTGCATCTCGCGTCGTCTGGAGCCGCGCAGCGGCTGCATTCGCACCGGGAGGACCACAGGAGCCCCGATGCAGCTCTCGGCGGCGTGCCCTGGTCGGCTTGTGAAGGTCCGCTGCTGGCAAGTACAGTCGGGGCGTTGAACTAAGGAACCCTAAATAAGGAACGATGTCCCTTTTTTCCATAAGTAAAACTTAGATTTCCCATCGAAAACCTCAAGAAAGCGTGAGGCAAACTGTGAAA